TTATTTAATTCATCCTCTGGTATGCACGGGATCCTACATTGAGCCAGCTCCCCCTCCAAACAGCTCCAGTTCAACCATCACTCAGCACAGACCAATTCCAGCCAAAGCCTCAGCTGCCTTAATGAGTGGAACACGAGCCATTGCAGATTGGAATCAAAGGGGGAAAAATAATGACTGATGCTAATACTTAAGCCATCTTAACATTTCTTTCCATTCTTTTTTGTGCTCCTCCTCCAAAGAGCCCAGCGGAAGTCAAACAAAAAGCGGATCACGCAGGTAGCCCATGAAGACCGCAAGCCAGTGAAAGCTTCATGGAGAAAAAACAAAGAGGGAGGGCATGAGCTTGCCTCGATTGCTGAAACTTGCAAATGGACTCATCACCTGAGGGGATTCAAGCCCGGACCTCACAGCCATCTCGAGTTATGTATCGGCGCGTGAGTGCGTGTGTGCGCGCATATCCATGGACAGTATGTGCGTTCTCATTGTGCAATGACCCAACTGACTGAGGCCAAAACAAGAAGGCATCTGTTGGAGCAAAGCTGGCAGAGACATTTAAGGACGAGCCCAGTGTGCCCTGGTCCCATCTGAGCTTTCCTCGCGAAGAGGCGAAGGGCCCTACTGCAAATTAACCATCCGTCCACCTCACTGGCATGTATTAAAAGTTTGCTAAAAGTCATAGAAAAATATTCTGGATGTTATTTTAACAGTATCTGTCTGAGGGCTACACACGTTTTCCGAAACCTGCGATCCACACACACACACACACACACACACACACACACCTTATTCAATGTGACAATAAGGAGGTGCAAACACAGAAGCAGCTGTATACTAACACAAGAATTTCTGTCCATTTCACACTCTGATGCCTGCAAAAACCCGTTGGTCCGGATTCTAACCATGTTCGTGCCGCATCCCTGCTTGGATGCAATTCCGCAAAACATCAAGTCACTCCAAACACTGCTGTATGCCACTGTGCAATCTGCATTACATGCTCTGAGAATCCACAAGGACACCAGATGCTGCACGGGGCCAAAGAGAGGCGCTGGCCTCACGTGCCAGTGACACGTAAACTATATCCAGATAGAATAGTCATTCCCAAACTGTGGTATGATATTTCACAGCATATTTATAATTCGTTTTTCCAAGTGCGTCTTTTTTTCCCCCACAAAATAAAATGATCATATTGAATGGGGACGACTTGTGGCAGATCAATGACCCAACTGACTGAGGCCAAAACAAGAAGGCATCTGTTGGAGCAAAGCTGGCAGAGACATTTAAGGACGAGCCCAGTGTGCCCTGGTCCCATCTGAGCTTTCCTCGCGAAGAGGCGAAGGGCCCTACTGCAAATTAACCATCCGTCCACCTCACTGGCATGTATTAAAAGTTTGCTAAAAGTCATAGAAAAATATTCTGGATGTTATTTTAACAGTATCTGTCTGAGGGCTACACACGTTTTCCGAAACCTGCGATCATATTCTTCTGACTGTTTTGCAACAAGAAGGATGAGTAAACTATTTCCTATTGTAGATTCTTTTTCCTCCTCACAGAAACGAAGGACATTTGTAATGGTGTGCCCCAGCAGCGTTGACCACTTGAAATTAAAATAAATGCCTTCTAGTTTTTTTTCCCATTAATTTACGTTTTTGCAAAGTGATGCAGAATGTATATGATCGATAAAAAAAACCAATACTGTGTATTTAAAATTAAGCAGTACACTATTTACTGTGTACATATATCCACACATTCAATATATATATATATATATATCAATCTGCATTACATGCTCTGAGAATCCACAAGGACACCAGATGCTGCACGGGGCCAAAGAGAGGCGCTGGCCTCACGTGCCAGTGACACGTAAACTATATCCAGATAGAATAGTCATTCCCAAACTGTGGTATGATATTTCACCGCATATTTCTAATTCGTTTTTCCAAGTGCGTCTTTTTTTCCCCCACAAAATAAAATGATCATATTGAATGGGGACGACTTGTGGCAGATATCAATTAACAACCCCCCCCCAAAAAAATGCAAACATAAATAAAAAAAAAAATCGGCCTAAATCCACTTGATGCATTCGTATAGTATTGTAACCATATTGTCATCACTATTAGATGGTAAGATATATTCTTTTTTTTTTATTCCTAATTCTGCCTGACCAAAACACACTAATAAGTACATATACAACCTGTTTTTCGACCCCACTGAAATGAAATAAAGGCCAACCTTTTTCTCAACTCAGCTTCAAAATAATTTGCTGTTTTAAACCATAAACCTTTCACAAGTGAACTGTATTCATGCACAGAAAACCCACTAAAACACGGTATCAATTGGGACGCTAATAGCGGATTACATGATTTGACTTGACATGGCTGAAAACACAAATTTAAACTCGGACAGCCACCAAGCTACCACTCGATCATCGTAAATTAACGTCACGCTCGGGTTGGTAGAAAAGACAAAAGAAAACAAAAAAGAAGAAAATATGAGCCATTTATTTTCTGCTGCCAAATGGGCATTGTGCAATTTGTTGGTCAATTTACAAGCCCTTCTGGTTTGACTTGGCTGCTGCCAGCCCCCGATACTCGCAGCCAGTGGGCTTCAATCAGAGCCGGGCTTGTTGGGCAGCATCCTGTTAATTAACTGATTGATAATTCCTGGGTTGGTTTCCCTTTAATTACGGACTTGATTGTAAACAAATGTGGTGATCCAGCGAATTTCAAGTGACCTGGACAAAAGGAGGACAGCTCTTCCAGAGTTTTCCCAAAGCCATGCTGATATTGTCCACAAGCCACGCTCGATATCTGTTTGAGTGATTATCACATTTTCATTTGAAAAATGCTTTACGAAATATTTCATAGCATTTTCAAACATTCAAGGAGCTTATGATCACGTATCATTAATTTTATGGAAAAATAAACACTCATTTTTTTCCGCTCCGATTCCCTAATTATGATGCACAAGTTGATATGTAAATTTCCTCATCATGTTAAATGTAATAGATTGTATAGCTCAATTTAGTTAGTGTGATTTCAGTGTGCACACACCACTAAATACTCATTGCGAAATCAACAAAAAAATTTCGATGTGTAAAGCTTGTTTGGTTTTAACTGTTCCGATGATGTACGCAATCTCAACTTGATTGTGGCATCAAATATTTTTGTTTTATTCTGTTAGCTTCTTGACTGCCATGGTGCAGTTTGTGTGATTAAAATCTCAATTCAAAAGCCTAAATTCAGTTTTATATTTCATGTGTTCTGTAATATGAATGAATAAGAATGAGCTGACATTTTAAGTCTTTGTCACCATGTTTTTAAATTTTTTTCAAAAATTTTTGCCAGTCAATCACAGGGCACATATCGACAAAAACAGACACCTTTAACTTGATTTTGTGGCAACAGAACCTGAGTGGCCTGCACTCAAGTCAAGTGAGAGAACCACTACACTTTTAAAAACGTGTACCCTATCAATTCCATTTTAGTGAATGAAGCAATTGAAAATATTATTTTGAATTTTTAACTCGAGGGCCCAAGCTCCTAGTTGCGTTCATAGGGCACTGTTCCATTTATATCCATCACAGTATGTTTAAGCTTGGCATGATAGAAGAGGGCCGTGCCGGCAAGTGATGCGCTGGCGAAAGGCTGCGTGAGAAGATGGGAGGCTGTATGTGAGCCAGACAGCAGCTGATTGAAGGGGGCTGGAAAGTCACTCTGCCATGTGGAGCAGTGTTGTGCGGCAGCTGCAATCAAGGCCTTTATGGTGGCCGTTACTTCCAGCCGATGGGGAGGAAAGGAAACCTCCTCATTACGGCTGTCTGACAGGGATCAAGGCCAGTCAAAGCTACAATACACACACTCCGAGCTAACCACGACCCGCTTGCCCACCTTCCACTGACATCAACACCAGAGGGAAGACGAGGGAGAAAAAACAAAGACGGCTTTCACGTCATACCGTTTCCCTCTCACCTCCTAAAGGAGAACTCATGCTTTGAATTGCTGGTAGGAGAAAGAGCTCTTTTTTTTTTTCTGTTTTTGCCCACAATTTGGTAATAAACTAAATGCTTTTGAGGATTTTCTCCTGGAAATGTATGTGGAAGGTCTACATAAAGAGAGCAGAAAAGGGGGGAAAAAACCCAACAACCTAATTTTCAATTAAGACGGTTCGACATATGTCTGCAATTCAACAAAAATTCACATTAGGGTTTTGTTTACAGTGCATCATCAACACCGGAGATTTGGCAATGCTCGTACAGGCATGATCACATCTCATCACTTGTTTACACGCAGAAGCGGTTTTCTCTATCTGGACGGGGCAATGTTTCCCCGTTTGTTTGTTATTGTGTCAAATTATGAATCAACAGTGATGAGACAATTTCATTATATTTGATCTGTTATGACGCAAGGAACATGTCACCTAAACAAAGTGTTTACAAGAGTAGTGCAGTGCCAGAAAAAAACAGACGGACAATATTAAAAAGCTTTTCCAGACAACGAGCGGTTTGTGTTCATTTATAGCTCCTGATTGCATTCTTTACTCTATCCATTTCTATGCTTCACATGGCTTTAGCTCGAAACTACTCCATCACCATTGAAGTATCATGTTAAAAAGTGTTTACCATGGATATGATATTAAGGGGCAAATTTTGACATAGCTTTTCGCCCAACAATTACCGTATGCAATATGCTGCAGTATTAAGTCTCATTGCATGCACTTCACTCTAAAAACTGCTGGGTTAAAAATAACAAATTTTAACCCAAATATCAGTCTCTTTTGTTTGCTAGTTGTGTGGTTTTTTTTTAATACCACATTTATTTTGATAATTTTTATATATTTATTTGAGATGAAGTATTTTATGACTTTTCAAAAAAAATATTAAATAGCAAACAAACAATAAAACATTTGAAAAAGATTACGATTCAGTAAAGCAAAATAGTGTGTGTGTGTATTATATATATATATATATATATATATATATAAATCATAAAACATTTTAAACATTTGCTCCATGTACAGCACTTTGTATACAGTGATGGCTGTTTCCAAGTGCTCTATAAACACAGTGGAGTTGAGTAAAAGATTACCATACACTGAAACTAAGTAGGCAGCAGGCGTAAACATACTGTATGAAAATCTAAATGAACAATTCGAGAACTTTTTCAACAATTAAAAATCATTTCTTTGTAAGAGAGGGATTTAAAACGGTGATTTTTTTTTTTTTTGTACTGCGTTATATTGGAGTATGCAAGGTCACGGCAGATTTCAATGATAAAAGGATGTCAATAAAACAAAGCCAACAACCAACCAAAAGGAAAAAAATCCCTTAATTTAGTATTCATAACATCAAATCCAACCAAAAACCTTTGAAGGTTAAGTCTAGGTCAAAGTGCTCTCCTTTCAGCTTGAACACACTGAAGAATAATTCGTAGACAAGAACAAGCTCCCACCTAACCCATTAAAAAAAAAAAAAAAAAGAAAAAAAAAGGAGAGAGAGCCTAACCTTCAGGTCAGGCAGCAGACAGCAAAAACAGAATCCACCATCCTACCTTTGCTTGTCATGTCAACTGAGATAATAAGGGCTTCGACTGGGGGCATGACATTTACACATTTTGATACAAGAGTGGGGCCACTGAGCGTCCCTGTCAAGTGCCAAAGAATAGAAATACAGTATTTGAATAGCCTTGAATCCAACACTGCTATGCTCCTCAGACAATAGGTGCAGCACTAATCCCCCTTCATGGGCTCTGCATCCCCTGTCATGGCCACTGGTGAAGCATGCTGAGATGCTGCCTTGGCGACTGACACGTCAACAAAGACGGCGTCCCTGGCCTCTGCTGGGGCTACTTGCTCTGCACTGCCGTGCGTGGAATCTGCATTAGGAGGGAAGAAAAGCCGAGAGCAACCTGTTAAACAAAAAGCTGCCAGGGTGCTGGGACCCCTGGTAAGAAGCTCGGTGTGGCCACCCATCAAATGTGCTGAGCCAGGCCGACAGCGCATCCCTCGCCCACCCCTTGGTAGCCCACCCCTATCTGCCTGGTGTCTTTGGGTTGGAACCGCTCTTGTGTCCACCGCTCGGGCGGATCTGACAGCTGTTAGCATGGAGGCTTTTTCGCTCAAGACATCTCTCCATCCACAAACAATAACCCCCGCGGCCCTCGCCGAGCTTGAGAGCCGACCCTTAAAAGACAAGGTGGGGAAAATGAGCTGACAGTGTCACTCGTACGCCACTCGCATTTCACACTTCGCAGACACACCATGACAGATCTTTTTCACCCCAAGACAATGGAGCCAACCAATAAATGACACCGATTGGTATTATATCTTTTGCGCTAAATAAGTCAAACACCACGTGGATGTGGTTCATTGGGAAATTAGTCGCTAGAGGTCAGCGGAATGTGAGAAACGGGTGATGCTCTCGCTGATGGCCGTGACATCACACGGCATGCTTTGCAGGTTGGAACAGAAATTTGTATATGTTCTTTTAATCAATATACATACACAGGTATGCATATTTATGTCAAAACTGGTTGAACTATCACGTTTTCCAATATCCTGCAGGCCTGATAATTGTTTTTTTTATTTTATATATATATATATATATATATATATATATACATACTGTATACACACATACATACATACATGCAAGATGAGTTTCTGATACAGGATAATATATAGCATGTAAAGTAAATAAATTTTTTTGGAATGAATATTAGAATTAAATATGATAAAAAAATTATCGTGCGTATGGGTGTGTGTGTGTTTGTGTTTGTGTGTGCGTGTGTGTATACACAGAAAGGGTTCTGCATACCTCCAGGATTGGGCCGAAAGTTAGAATAAAAAAAATAAAAAATACATTCGATTAAACCTATTAAACTGCATCAAGAAACTATCATGTCTTTCAAACACAAAGGCATGATATGTTTCCCCACACTCATATGAATTTGAATAAATGCATCGAGAGCAACACATTGACATGCCTTGGAACAGTTGAGGGTGACATTCAGCTCACAAGACAGACGCACACACAAGCACGCCTGCAAACTCGCACATACACAAAGAGACAAGCAAACCTATCGTATTTACCACACAGTCGATGCATGCAGACTTAAGAACACATTGAACCTCCTCTCGGATGTACATCCCTGTCAGCAGAGCTATACTGCCCGTTTACCTTGCCCCAGGACATTCACGGGACAGCCAATCTGCCGTCTCCCGCATCTCCAAAGACATGTCGCCCTGTTTATCTCCTAATTGACTCTCAGAGGAAGGCTGAGATTGACAGTGATGCTTCCCACTTCACTTAAGTCCTTTTTAGCCAAGCAAGCCAGTGCGGAGTCACCTGTTAATAATACATCGCGGCCTACTTATTCCATTGATAAGCACCACTTCACCTCTGGAAAATACAGCAGAAGAGAGACGTTAGATGCCAGTCACTTTTGAGAAGACTTTTACTTGTTCAGAAATACTTTTAGTAAAAAAAAATAAATAAATAAATAAACAAGTCAGAGTTGTATTTGTTTCTCCGAAAGTCTGGACAAATGATTCGGTGACCATTTTGTCCAGCGTCTCAACACAATTAGGAGAAGCTCCTGCTGCTGACAGAAGTGTTGAGATAACATGTAATGTAAGGTTTATCATGCCTTGACAGATTGGGAAGACAGAGCGGGATTGTCATAACATCCCTAAACAGGAGCGACGCAGTTGATTGAGACTAATTGACAGCAGGAGAGGTAAAACTTCAGGGTGATGTGTTTAATTTTTTTCCTCCCCTGCCATTTACTTGTCATCACCTGACAGGAAGCAACGCTCCTTATTGCCGATGCACGCTGTTCACCTGACACCTCCTCCAAGCTAACGCTATAGCGGCGGTAGAGGACGAGCCAAAAGGGCATCAGGTGAGAGTGCGAGCTGGGCTGGCCCTTGTCCTCGTCTGTCGGAGATTATTTCGCGGGTCACGACTGGCGCGCCGGTGGTTTGTCACGCGCCGCTTGCCGTAATGTCACCGAGACCACCCTTGCAGAACTCGGTCCAGCTGGGGGCCGTCACGCCGCCTCGTCACATCTCAACTAAGCAGTCCGTGACTTTTAAAACACCCTCACGAGTGTGCGAGATGCTAATTTAGCAAGGGTAACGCAGAAGGGAAAGTGTGTTCTGAAAGACGCAAACAAATCACTCTTTCGAATAAAGCGACAGTCCGGGTAAGGCAGAATATTGCAAGGGCTCTTCTCTGTGATTCTGGAGTTTGTACGTGGATGATAAACGAAATAAATAAAAATCACGGCAATAGCGCTGAGACCGTTTGTGGTTGCTGTCCTCAAAATCCTGCAGCCTTGTGAGCATGCGACGTGACAATCAGAAGTTATCAGCTGCATTAGTTATCCATTGAGACCCTTAGATGTGACCGTCAGGGGCCTACAAGGCACAGATTAAAAAAAAAAAAAACTCTTGTGAGCAAGCTTGTTTGAATTGTGCTCACCTTCAAACATGCCCAAAGAGAGAAGAGTCACTTGGGGGAGATAAAAGGTTGTCTGCAAGCTGAGCAATTTGTATTTCCTTTTTTCATCCCGAAGACATCACTTCTTGGGAAAATTCTCATCGCTGCCCAAAGTACTTCTCCTCATTATGCTTTAAAGATCTGTCCTTCTCTCTTTTTGTGGTGTCCTCTTTGATTACATAAGTACAGATGCAAATTTGAAACACCCAAGTATTACTTGCCTTGTGGAAAGTGGGACTGGAGGAAATGGAGGCCTTCTACATAGAACGCATAAAATTAGTTTTTGCAGTTGCATTGTTACATCTGCCAGTGGATGACGATAGTGTGTGTGCCCTTGTGTGTAAGGTGTTGGTAATTTCGCTCTCATCTTCAGTCTGCTAATTAACAGGGCAGCATAACGAATGCACATGATCAGCTGCCTGCCTCTATAGGACATGTATGACTTACTACGTGCCTTTTTGTGGGGTTTTGGTCATGCCCAAAGTACTTTAGAGGCTCGATTCTCAAATGGAATCAAGTTGGTGGAATTTTATTATTTCATATTGTTTGCCCTACAGATAATGACAATTTTCCAGGTGCACAGTTCTTTACTCACCTATATAGCCTCGTCTATATAGTGTTTGTATATAGTGTCTATTTTCAGAAATTCACATTTATCTGTGTGTCAGTCAATGGAATACCCTCCAATGGATACTGTAGAGTACAAAGTACAATACCGCAGTGCCCTGACCCAAGACACAGCAATAGAGTGTTTATTTTCAGAATAACTAGCCATGTTACAATGAGGTCTCAATGAGGAATCTGCTTGACCAGCCATGGGTCACACACTTTGTATCGAAATGACAAGCGTAGAACTTTGGGTGACCAGGTGGTATCTGCTTTTGTCAATGTCAACCCAGGTAAGTACTGTAAATTACAAAAGAGATGTATGCATTACTTGAACTGGGACAAATACTTCATCAGACATTGAGTACCGGTAATCTCATTGCTTCAGCAAAATTGAATGTTTCTGATTCTGAATGAAATTTTTGTTTCAAAACTGTGCTCCAGTGTACAAAGCAAGGGCCATAAAAGAAACGCTTGCATGAATTTGCTGCGGGAGAGCTACAGCAATCATTTTTGGCATATACCACAACAGAAATGATGAGCCAGGTTCTACCTCAAGTTCAACATAAATTAAAAATTCCAAAGGCTATGCTCCAAAATCTTGTTGAATGTCTTCTCAGACCTCATTAACAACAGCTTTATTGGCCAGGTGTCCCAAGACCGTTTTTTTTTTTTGTTTGTTTTTTTTGCACATGATGTGCACTACATTAGCCTGTTTATGAAATAAAGGTCCCCTTAGCTTCTTCATATGGTTCTCTGTAGTCTGCCTTTGGTGCACTTAATCGCACAGAGGAGTCGTCTTGTCTAAGCAGAGCCTACTGTACATCACACAGCACTCTCTCCTCATACAAACTGCCTCTCTCTCTCTCTCTCTCTCTCTCTCTCTCTCTCTCTCTCTCTCTCTCTCCCTCTCCCTCTCCCTCTGCCATTAATCCATCCCTCCATCTGGAATACCTGATTTGGCTGAGAGCTTTTACACTTCCCTTCACTGCCTCCGCCTTATTCCTGAGACTCGCGAACCGCAATGTGCTGATTTGAAAACACATGCACACAATGGAAGAATTATCCAATTACACTCGCTACAAGAAGATCTAAAAGCCCGGGCCAAGCCACAATGCTTTTCTGTCTAATAGCACATCGGATGTGTCTCATTGATATCCTATTTCGAGGCTCGTGTAGCATACAGCAGGTTGCTATGTCACCTGCTGTATGGTGTCACAATATAACCAACATAAAACTCCAGGAAGCCTATTTAATTTAGAAATGGGGGTTGGATAGGTGGGTTTTCTACATTAAAATAATTCTGCACCGTTGCATCTACAGAGAGCATCTTCTAATCATGAGCATTTTATTGTGCAGCAAAATAAATGTATCACAAAAAAAAAAAAAAAAAAAGCAGCCAAGCAAACTTGGGTTACTGATATTTACAAAGTTCAGAATAATAACAATGCTAATGTCAATAAAAACACAATAATGTCCCAACCTGATTATGCAGCCTGTATGGGGAATAGAAAATTAAATTTGATATTTGAGAACTTGCCTCTGTCTGTATTGTATTACACATAGGCGGGGTGGGGGAGGCGGCCTGAAATGCAATAAACATGACAACAAATTTAAAATGCATATTAACCCAGGATAAGGTAGGGATTGCACTTTTTTTTTTTTCCTGAAGTAATTACGAGGTTTTCTTCATTTGTGTCATTAGTCAAAATGACAGCTGCTCCCCGCAGGCCGGACTATTCTTCTCTTGCGCTCGGCCGACAGGGA